TGTTAAAGACGATAGAATGTTAGGAGGAAAGGCCGCACTGTTCAAGGGCATTATTCACGTCACATGCGCACAAACCTGCTCCTTAGTCCCACAGTTCCTCTCAGTGAACAATGTTTACCTTGCCCACTGCCATGGTCAGAAAACCAGAAACCATCATTCACACACTACGCTCTCCATCTCCACTGCAGCATCACTACATCCTATCAACTTAAGTGTGCAAAACCTTCCCCACTACACATGACATCTTGGATTCAATCCCCAAATACTTCTCCTTAAAACAAATATCCCAAAGCCCTACCTACTAAGTGGTCCCCAGAGAATACTCTAAATAGACAAACCAAATGCCAGTGCCCTCTCCCACTTTATCTATCCTGGGGAACACTAAAGACCCAACAGTAGGACTTGTGTGAAGTCAAGACTTAATCTGAAGGTGGGCGCCGGTGGCTCATGCCTGCAATCCCAGCTACTCAGGAGGCTGAGATCTGAGGATTGCAGTTCAAAGCCAACCTGGGCAGGAAAGACCGTGAGACTCCTATCTCCAATAAACCACTAGAAAACCGGAAGTGGCGCTGTAGCTCAAGTGGTAGAGTGCTCGCCTTGAGCTGATGAGCTGAGGAACAGCGCCCAAGCCCAGAGTTCAAGCCCCACGACCACCACCACCACCAACAAAAAAGACTTAATCTGATTGTACATGGAAGCCCAGCAATGCCTCCTCCCTTCCAGAGGAAGGAAGGCTCTGAGAGGCACCATCCCTCCTAAAATAGGCATCTTTTCATTTCCATTGTGCAGCCACACAGGGACATAAACCTCCTGTAACAAGTGAAGGTGTTACCAAGATAGAGAAAACACTCCCAGAATTCATATGGAGCCCTACAGTCAAACAAATCTGGGCAAAAAGAGCAATGCTGGATGTATAACGATTCCAGACCCCAAACTTTACAACAGAGTTATAATAAACAGCCTGATACTAGCAAAAAAAAAAGCCTGAAGACCAAGGGAATAGACTAGAAGACCCAGAAATAAAGCCATATACTTACAGCCATCTGACATTTGACAAGAAAGCCAAATAATATGTTGGAAAAAAGACACCATCTTCAACAGATGGTGTTGGGACAACTGGACATCCACATATTGAAGAATGAAACTGGATTCCTATCTACCACCTTGCACTGATTTCAACTCAAAATGGGTCAAAGGACCTCAACATAAGAGC